AGAGAGAGAGAAAGAGAGAGAGAGAGAGAGAGAGAGAGAGAGAGAGAGAGAGAGAGAGAGATAGACAGACAGAATGTGTGTGTGATTGTATATGTGAGTGTAGGTGTGACCTTGTTTGCCTGTGATCGTGTACACACAAACAAGCCCACACCTACCATCTTCCTTACCTCAAGGGGGGTATCTCGACAAAATGCTGGTGTAGGTCAAGATTTCTGGAAACCCCCGAAATCTGGGTTAGCCCACTAGTCATTAAAAGGAACCACATGTGAGCGTACAAACCACCCCAGTGCCTACCATCTTCCGTGGCCTTCCCTGACCCCAACGATTACCATTTTCCGTGTCCCCATGCCTATCATCTTCCATAATAAGAGTGAACGTGTACACACACAAACCACCCCAATACCTACCTTTTTGCGTGTCCCAACTCCTACCATCTCCTGTGACCTTCCATGACCCCACGCCTACCATCCCCTGTGACCCCCACACCTACCATTTTCCGTGACCTCCTGTGACCCCCACACCTACCATCTTCCGTATCCGGTCTATCACCAGGTCCACAATCTCCTTCCCCACCGTGTAGTGACCCCGGGCGTAGTTGTTGGCGGCATCCTCCTTGCCGTTCACCAACTGCTCTGGGTGGAACAGCTGACGGTAGGGCCCGGTTCGAACCTCGTCTGTGGGCGAGACGGACAGTCATCATTTAGCTTTAGTATTGGGGGGGGGGGGTTGTTGTTGTTTTTGTTGTTTTGTTGTTTTGTTTTTCTCCGAGGGTGGGTTTTGTGTGTTTTAGTAAGATTTAACGGCGTTCGCAACTGCATAAGGTCATATGAGCGTCAATGGGTGGATGTCAACAGAGAAGTCCAAACGGGGAATCAGTCTTTCTCTACTCGTATCTCTCTAGCCTCAACTGCACAAAGTCTGCTTCGACTATCAAGGCACCCCGGAAATAGCAGTTAACAAGAGAGTGACAAACATACAAAAGAAATAAAGGAAAATGACGATAGTGAGGATGAGGGGTAAAAAAGCAGCAGTTCCCCCTATGTTGTTCGGCACAGTTATGAGCATGACATTGATAAATCAGCCTGTTCACAATTCTGCTGTGCATAAGAACATGTTACTAGATCTATCTCCCCTTTGTGAATGGCCTTAAGACAACTTCAGTCAGTAGCACTGCCCTGGGAGCGAAAGCTTTACTTGTAGTACGAGTCTTACGGCATTAGCCACACAAGTAGGTCGCATAAGTGCCGAAGATTAAAAGTGTTACTGGAGAGTTACTTAAAGAATCGAAGGAAAAGAGCTATTTAAGATAAATATTTGATTTTTAAAAAGGGCCAACGCTCCCGAGAGCACCCGCCAACCACTCACGATTAACATTATAAGGAGCTTAAATATAAAGTTAATGACTAAAAACTACAGGGGAAAAACGACTGTAGTCACAAACTGAAAATCGTGAAGGTATCAATTTTGAGCGCGACTCATAACTGTATTTCTGTTCAACTGTTGGTTGATTATTGTTGTTAGATTTCCTATTCAACAACACTTAACAATAAACCACCAGTCAAACAAATATGAAGTGATGAGTCCACAAGCTTTTGAAATTGGCACCCTCACAATTTCCAGTTTGTGACTACAGTCGTTTTCCCCTGTGCTCTTCAATTGTCTTCTGCTTCCTGTTCCAGTGTTATGTAGTCATGTCAGAAAAAAATCCTTTCCCCGATCCTAATCCTACCTCACCCCATCCCTCATTCCAAAAGCCCCTCTTCCCCTCCCCCAACCCCCACCCCGAAAGTCCCGTATCGGCTCAAAACTACAAATATTTAATTGACGGCATTTTTAGCTTTTTCAGCCTCTCTTACAACTATTTCATCGCATAAGAACCCCCTAAAGCCTTATTTCTTCACATTCCGGGCATGTTTGTCGCCACCTTTTCCTCATAAAGTCAATCTTTTATTTTTCTTTATTGCCCGTTTTCTCGAAACGTGGTGTTTCTATATACTTTTCTAAATAACGTCTCCATTTTCTATCCAATCTTCATGACATTTTCAAGGAATGAAGAAAAGATGAAGTACTAAACATTTGTGAAATTAATTTTTGATAGATGAAATAGTTTTTTGTTGTTTTTTTGTTGGTGGTTGGAATGTGGATTTTCACGGATTATTTTGTAAACGTGAATACTCAAGAAAAAATTCATTAAAAATGTAATAATATTTTAGGAAAATTCATCAAACAAATTTTGAGATCTATTGTTTGCTAAGACGCATGCAAAAAAAACCCAATTTATTTCAATGAAAAATAGTGCGGTATTAATTACGTAAGACATTTCAAGAAAATCCTGTATGGCCGCGGTATGAAACGAACCTTTTTCTCAAGTTTGATTGGGCATTTTAAGACTCCTTACTATGCTTGTTATATGTGTCAAATTTGGTAACATTTAATCCACTAATAAGCGAGATAACCATAGAAAACTGCATCTCCCCTCGACGCTAAACGGCAACAGAGGATGAAAAAGTTAAAAGTAAAGTAAGTAATAAGCGAGATAGCCTTCAGCAGTAAGTAGCCCCCGACTCACCAACAACGCTAGGTTCGAGATCCACGTAGATAGCCCTAGGCACGTGCTTCCCCATGCTGGTCTCGCTGAAGAAGGTGTTGTAGCTCTCGTCTCCGTTGTTAGTGGCGTACTTGAGGTCCTCCATATGGCCACTGGGCTGGATGCCGTGCTCCAGGCAGTACAGCTCCCAGCAGGCGTTGCCGATCTGGACTCCGGCCTGTCCCACGTGGATGGAGATACACTCACGCTGTTGGGGGGGGGAGGGG